TATTTGTAAAATTATTTGTAGAATTTGGTCCAAAGCAAAGAAGTTTTGTGTGAAGCCGCTGTATGGCCCCAACCTATTTTTTCCTTTCCCTGAGGATAAGGGATAGATAATAAGATTTGCTCAGATTTTCTTTAACATTATGGCGCATGAGTAGTGATCATAAGTTAAGATACTATTAGGCACTGCAAAGCCTACACAAAATCATAGTCCACCAACCAAGGAGCAGAGTTCATGTATCAAATTAAGCCATAATATGGTTACACTGTTATGAGCCTAGCCACTACTCTTAAAACTACGATTTAGCCCTTATTAAGTTGCATTATTAAGAGCCATGGTGGAACAGTGGTTAGAATGCAGTATTGTAACCTAATTCTGCCAACTGCCAGCAGTTTGATCCTGACTGGCTCAAGGTTTAATCACCCTTCCATCCTTCCAAGGTCAGTAAAATGAAAAGCCAGATTGTTGGGGGCAATAGGCTGACTCTGTAAACCGCTTAGAGAGCTGTAAAGCACTGTGAAGCGGTATGTAAACCTTAAGTGCTATTGCTATTGCTACTGACCCAGCCAAGTATAGTTGACTCAGTTATAGCTGAACAGTAACATAGAAGGGTTTATGAACACAGTCATAGTGCTTCTGTGTGTGAAATGGCCTTGACGTGAGGGTATTTTTCAGGCCGCAGAAGTACGTGTGGCACGGCTCCGATTCCAAGGGACGGCGGTTAACAGAGAGCTACTGCGAGACGTGGCGGACAGATGACACCGTGGTGACTGGCCAGGCTTCCTCGCTGGCATCAGGCAAGCTGCTTGAACAGAAGAGCAACAGCTGCAGAAATGCCTTTATTGTCCTATGCATCGAAAACAGCTTCATGACATCTTCCAAGAAATAGAACCCCTGAATGTGCTGATTGCGAGTGGAGGCGGGGAGTCCAAATGCCCCCCTTTCTGCAATGGGGAGCAGGCAAGGGATTCCTCCCCCTCCACCATCAATCAGAATAATGTGTCCAGCCACTTTCATAATATAGCATCCACCAAGCAGATAAATGAACAAGAAAGCCAAAGAGCGTCTTCTTATGAGTCCAGCACAGATCTGATGCTGGTTATTTTTATTTTTTTTTGTTCTCGTCTCCCCTTGAGCACCACTGCTGGAGGGGCTCAGGCAGGGCAGGATTTGTGTGCAAGGCAAGTCTCCAGGCAAGTGCAGCTCCCAAAATGGTTCTGGTTCTCTCTCTCTCTCTCCTGCCCCTGTGTAAAATTTCCTGTTTCCCATATCACCTCCCTTTCCCTCTTGCCTTTCCAAATAGTCCACCCGTTCTTTAAAAGAGAAAACCAAGGTCGAGTTGGATGTCAGAAGATCTATTTATTTGCATTGACTTAGTACAAGAAGTCTTCCCCAAACAGGGGAAGTGCTGAGGAAAACGTTGCCTTTGGAAGCCCTGATGGTGAGCATGTTAAATCCCAATAACTTGGGTACCATCTGCTCTTCTATGAGGGGCATGGAGCTAAAGGAAACATAGGATCTTGCTGAAAAATTCAGGACCAAAGTTGAGAGTTTTATAGCCCNTTGGTAATGTCAGTTCAAATGCAACCAGATTTTGGCATCTGATCTTCTCATCTTATGCTATGTAAATAAATAAAATTTTTATGAACCCAGCTTCATCATCACTAAGTCCTCAAAGTCTTGGGGAAACCATTTATGTCTTGGAACTCAGAAGATTGAGGCAGCAGAAAACAGACTTTATCAAATGTTGTTGTCCCCCCACCCCCCCAAAAAAACCTCTTGGAAAGGAGAATGACATGCTGAAAATATTTGGTTTTTTTTCCACCTATAATGTCTGTATGTCAATAGTATTATTTCCAAAAAAATAGCTTTTTCAAGAGGTTGGCTGGGAATTGCTGTAAGCAAGTGCTATATAAATTCTTCAATCATTGTTTTGGTTCAATTTCAGCTGGAAGAAAGAATATCCATTCCTAGCTCTGGACTGGTAGGTAGAACATTATTATCTAATACTAACCAGTAGCTGGAAAAATTACTATATTTGGAACATCCTACACTTGCTGCTAAGACTTTTCTGCTTCGGGAATATTTATGGTTCTATAGGATTTGTTTAATGCTTGGATTTCCATAGTAATTACTTCCTTTGTGCCCTTGTAACAAATCAAGACAGCTTATCTCTTAACAGAATGCAATATAACTATAGAATTATTAGGCGGTGAAAACTAGGAGGAGGTCAAGTTTTTCCCTTATGTAAACAAAATTGTATGATTTCCTCATTCACATGAAACAGGTACTCCTTGCTTAATCATTGGTCTCTTAGCAACCACTCAAAGTTACAAAATATGTCCTCAAAGATTCTTACAACCATTTTTGAAGTTCCGATGTTGTACTTCCGTGTTGTCATATGATCGCATTTTGGATGATTTGGAATTGGCTCATATTTATGGCCACTTGTAGCATTCCATGGTTATGTGACCATGATTTTTGATGTTTTTCAATCAACTCAAATAACCGGGTGTGATCGTGCAGTCTTTGTTAATGACTCCATGACTTACAACCATAATTCCTAGCTCAATTATGGTTGTAAGTCTAGGCCAACTGTAAAGGGAGAAATTGCACTGCTAAAAACGAAAAGAAAAGAAGGGAAGTTCCTATTGCTCAAGGATCCTTTAAAAAACCATCCCATTTTTTGGCACGGAGGCCTTTGCCTGTCACTCTGAGTGAGTAGAGAATCATTCACTCATTTGAATGAGGGAGAAGCCATCCATTGTCCTTGCAAAACTAGATTGGCTGTCACCGTAGCTACATGTTTCATTGACTTCAGCACAAAAATGTCCTAGAAACCCTTTTTTTGTGGCAGGTCCTCATATTGCCTTTGGCTCATATGCTTTTCATACCTGGGGCAGTTTAGTTGGTTCTAGATGTTTCAATTTTCAAGTTGTGTTTTTCTTCTCATAACAGTTTTTGCCATTGATACTGTCTAGGATGTTTCATTAACAATGTGGCAGTAGAGACCAGTCGCTTGGCTTTAACAAAGGCACCTGCTAGTGACTATCATTTTCCAGTGACAGCTTCTTACAAACAGATTTAGCACTTCTTCGAGTACACTAGAGCTTTTTTTAAAAAAATGGCTTTCAACTTTTTGTGACCATGCTAATTCTCTTCTGAGCAGAAGGTTCATTTAAATTGGGAGAGACAGCCAGTTTCTTCCATGAGTTGTTAGTTTGTAGTGAACCAGTGAAGATCTTGAAGCATCAATACTGAATGGTAGACCAATGCAAACAAGCATGCTGGTTGGTTGGGTGGGTGGGTGGATCGCACCATGAATGACAGAAAATGTGGTAGAGGTGTGAAGGGTTCTGCTTTGTAGCATTGATTACTCAGGCAAGCACTCCAAAGGAATCTGATTCTTCATTCCATTCCAGGACAATGAAGTCTATGAAAGGTCTTCCAGCATCCACTACTCTCATGGAGGGACAGCCTCCTCTGGATCCCATCGTCCATTTCAGCCACACTTACCAGTACATGCACGTCCGGAATATAGCGCTTATTCTACAGCCAAGCCTTGGAGAGGTGACGAGAGTGTCGTCGACCCACACCACCTTCCTGAGCAACCTGCCGTCCACCCACCTCGCCAGGGAGCCCAGCAAGAATCCTTGGACCATTTCTTTCCCAATAACCGCCAGGCTGAGACTGCTCCTTTGGCAGTTCACACACATCAAGACTTCCAGCCTGCTGTGAGTTTCCATGTGTCATCAACGTGTCCTTCATTTTAGTATCTGCCGCAGCTTGCTGTAGTGTCAACTCAGATTTAAGTTGCTATTATGAAAACAGCTAGCAACAGCATCTGAATGTAAACGGAGTTGAGATCAGGGTTGATGTCACATGGGGGTGGCTTTTGGAGAATGGACAAAAATAATAATAAAACTCCTGAAATGATTTCTTTAGGTTGTTATCCCGCCAGTGAGCAGAACAAACTGAACTCAATACAAATGCAAAATGAAAAACACGAGGACTCGGTTTTAGGGGCAAACGTAACTTCTTCCACTGGGTTATCTTGCCATTTTCACCATGGCATTCGTGCTTCCCTAATATATATATATATAATCCATTCCTCCACTAAAATGGTACAGACAGGCTATTCTGGTGCTTCTTTCAGGATACAGTATCTATCTGTACAAAACATGATAATGATAAGAATTGCTAGTTTTGCCTTCTATTTATGGATTAGCACAGTATACTAATTTGTTTGGTTAATATATGGCTCTGTGTATTATGTATTTCCAGACAATGCATTAATTGAATAACCATGCTAAACAGCTTGGATGAATATGATCACTGGACTTTTCTTCCATTTTATCTTGAAATGGATTAGACTAGCAGATAATGATTTGCCCCCAAACAGTGAGAATCAATGAGCTTCAGAACTGAATCAGAATTTGAAATCTGCTAATCACTGTATCACACTGACTCTTTTTCAGGATGTAGATGTTAAATAGCCAAAACAAAAAACAAAAAACCCTGTTTCAGCAGTGAGCTGAAAAACTAGATAAGAACAGATAGTTTCCATTGCTAGGAAGTCACAGCAGGCTTCAAACCAAATGAAATATTTATCCTGGCTCTGTTTGTTTTTCCAGCTGCATCTTATAGCCCTGAATACTCCCCAGAGCGGCAGCATGCGAGGCATCCGAGGAGCTGATTTCCAGTGTTTCCAGCAAGCTCGGCAGGTTGGACTGTCTGGCACTTTCCGAGCATTCCTCTCCTCTCGGCTGCAAGACCTCTACAGCATAGTGCGGAGAGCAGACAGGAGCACAGTGCCAATTGTCAATCTCAGGGTATGTTGGGTCACAGACCCGAGCAAATTAAGCTTTATCAAAGTACCGAGAAGACGATCTGTTAGCCTTTAAAGGACAAAATACTGTCATCCCAGAAAGCAGGAACAAATCATAGCAGACTAAACATAGCTCCTCCCCCAAACAATTGCAGAAAAAGATATTTTGTACTATGCAACTAATTAATTGATTTTACTTTAAGCAAGACTTTGCACAAGATAGCTCACAATGAAATTATGATATATGGCTTTGATGATTGGAAAAAAAATAGTTTATAGAAAAAGATATAAGCATTGTCACCATGGATCAAGAGGTTAATTTATATTTATAACTGCTGTCAAAGAAAATTGGAAGTCATTTCTTTATATATTTTTCTTTCCTGCACTTTTTTGTTTTTCTCTGCTTTCTTTTTTATTCTAAATATTCTTATTTTTCATCTTAAATTTTTAATAGAGAGCTACAGTACAGATGACTAAGAGAGATGANAAAGCACCTTCAAAAAGTAAGGACCATGGTGGCTGAAGGGGAAAGGGAGGGGGGGGGGGGGGGGAAATCTCCACTCAAATGTTGAAGACAATTATTTGGAAGAATACCTCCCATCCACCCCCACTTTATGGAAATACAAAGTATAGGAAAACTGAAAGCTGCTTTATACCAAACCAGACCATTGTTAGATGGTAATATTTCTTGGATATTTCAGACTAGAATTTTTCATGTTTTGGTGTCTTAGGAAACCGCCTCCACCCCCACCCCCTTTAGTTTTTCCAAATGTTCATTCTGAGATCTCCGCTCTGGTTGAAATCCACACGTATTTCTTGTCAAGGAGGTTGATTAAGCTTCTTACAGTTGCTTTAGACTGGAATTTGACGTGTTTTAGCCATGGCAACAGAGCAGCAGGAGACTCTGAACTTTGGCCGGACTGAATGTGCTGACCAACCCTGCTCCTCTAAATCTCCCACAGACAGGAGAATGGAAATAATATTAAATTTCAGTGACAAAGAATGCCAAAGATTTTGATTCAAGAGATCTTTCTCTGGACCATCTTGTCATTTAAAAAAAAAAAATCCCATGAACTTCCCCAGCCTGATATCTCCCAGAGGTAATTTCTCTTCGAGCATTCTTCCTTGGAATTTGGGGAGGCAAAGTCCAACTTTCTGACATAGTCCGGGGGGAAGAATGGTATGTAAGAATATACTTCAGGAAAGATGAATAATTCCTTTTCCGTAACTCAAAAGTATTATCAGCCCTGGTAGCATGAGATCACTACAACTTGCCATCTGGTACTTTATCATTCATCTCTCTTCTACCTTCAAAGGACGTGACCATTTGTTCTGGTCAAGAAGTTTGGGATATTTTAGCAAAAGTAGCTGAGCACAGTTTACAAATGGAGTTGATGCAGAATATATGATGCCTCCTCTATCTTTGGATTCATATATCATCTATACTTCTAGATCAGGGATGGACAACCTGAGCTTCAGAGATCAATTGGCTAGTAGATGGATTGATTTGCAGGACTGGAGCCTCTTTGAACCACAGCGGCTGAAAATCAGTGACATGATTTGATGGCACTGTGATAAGGAACAATGAAAAACAATAGAACAAACCGAAGAATTTAGGCTTAAATTTAGTGACGAGTGCCCTCCCCAGCTGCTCTCCCCTCCAAAACAGG